CGCTTTTCGAAAATCTTCTAAGCATTGTATAACGATGACTGGCACGATGTATATTAATAGTATGTTATTGGTATAAATAAAAATATTCTTCATAGAAAAGATTAGAAAATCCTTTAACAATTTTATTTAACAGATTTTATTTAACTTCCATTCCTGTAAAGCGCAAGTATTCTTCTAAATACCTCCGGATTGTATCCCTCGACTACTGGTCTACCATTATTGTATTCAGCTTTTTCATAAAGTGTCAACGGCGGTAAAGGATACCAGAAATTCTTTACACTGACGTCATTGGTATCTAACGAATTGAGTTGAAATACAAAAAAGTGATAATTCTTCCCATCTGATTGAATGCATTGCACAGTCACGGGTTCTGGCAGTTTCTTCACGGATGAGCCAAACTTTTGCCGTGCACAGGACGCCGCCATGGTGTACGTTTTTATCAAAGTGCGACTGAAAATCTGATTCTGTGTCACAGGTAATTCCGTCTTATTTCTCACTCGAATGGGGTCGTAATGCACAAAAATAGTATGGACGTTTATCCAAGGTATTGTTGGACTGACAGCTGTTATTAATATACTTATTATATTAGAAATATATTGTAATATACATATATATATTGAAAATAATCAGCAATAAACTTACGATACATATCCTCAGTTTTATAGAAGTTTGTCTTGTCCAAACCAATGGTGTGATGCAGTGGCTGTATATTCGGAAGATCTATTTCCATGTTACTGTTAGAATTTTCTATTGGTTTTAGAGGATTTGTCGACATAACCGTCACATCTGAGCTTATGGTAAATTGAATAAGGTCTGATTCCTTATCTAGGAAATATTTTTGTTATTTGAATAAAGTTGAATGCAATATTACAATATTGCAATATTTAATTATCTATAGCTAAGCTACCTAAGTTTAACTTTATGATTCCATCATACAATATACATCGTTTCTGAGCGATCTCTAGACCCGACAAGGACTCGCAAAGTTGTAAAAATTTCCTAGAGAGATTCTGCCTACAAAAATATTCAAGAAATAAGTGTGTAAATGTAAGTGTGTAATTTTTACTGTATAAAAATAATACTTAAATCTTTCTTAACTCACTAACATTTTTCTGTGATTAGTTATGCCATAATCTCTAGGAAACACCCATGCAGGTCTTTCAGGATCCTTTTTCTTTGGTAGTTTTACTTGATGAGCATCAAATATATTCGAAGTATAAATTATCCTAAAATAGCAAGAAATTATATATATATATAATAAGTAAAACCAAATAATTTAATGTACCTTTTTACTATGTTGTCCACATGTTCCGGTAGATCCGGAAATAAATCTTGGATATAATTTGAAGAACTGTTCGGCAGACACACAGTGTTTGTCAATATCTGTGCTTGACAAAATCCTTCTTGCAAAACGTTATTATTCTTAAATATCGAGCAAGCTTTAGCTTTCCAATCGGGATGCGTTTCATCAAATGCTATTGGTCTTGGCTTCAAAAATTCTAGCTTTAACCTTGTACAAAATACAATTTACAATTAATGTCTTATGCAATATAGAATTTGTAAAAAATGCAAACTTTAAAGAAAAAAGTACCTTGGAAATTCCTGTTTTGGACGAATTATTTCTAAAGGGTCCTTCACTTGAATTTCAAATTTCGACAATTTTCTTTCTGTTTTGGTATCGCGCACTTTGCGTTCTCGTTTTACATACCACAATCTTTTAAGCTGTCTATCTATATGTTGCTTGTATAACACCCCCGTGAGCTTCATCGTACTTTATTTAAAACAGAAAGATTAATATAAATTTTGCAAAAATTTTGAGGTTATGCGATTTATTAAAGAAAATCTTCTATCTTTCTCAATATATTAAATTTTTATCAAACTATAAAAATCATATGATAATATTCGATATCATAACTTACGATAAGAAGTAATGAAATCAAATTATATGCAATACTTTTTTAAAATCTGCAATATTTTCGGGATAAAGCGTAACCTATTTTCCGGTTCGTAACATATTACAATTTAAGCTACGTCGGTAATGTAGGATTCCTTTTCTATCCTTATTTTGTCTATGAACGAGACATAGAATGACACAAATATACGCTAAAAGCGTCTCCCCGAACGCACCTCTAGTAAAAAATAAAGTCGCCTAAAATTGATCTTGATGACCTTTGATACTTAATGGAGGTTGCATTCGATTTGAGACTTGATATACATATAATGGAATTAGAAATTCTAATTAGCAAGTAAATATCTTTTGTAAATTTTTCTAATGGATATCGAATTATGGCAAAACTAGAAATCTTATTTCTACTATAAAAAAATATCACAAAAACAAAACCTTGGCAATTTTAGCAAAATAAATACACTTTCTATAAAATATTTTTGTATTTAATATTTTACTATATGCGTACCCATTTTCAATAACATGTAAACCCCCTCCTCCCGTTTTTGTACATATGAATATGAAAAGAGATGTATAACAAATGTATATAGATTTAAATTAATTAGTTTTCTTCGCGGCAGCACTAGGATTAAGTATTTTCCGCCTTTGTGCAAACATGTGCAAATAAAGTGGTGGAAAACCTGTAGTGAAAAAAACAAGTAGTTGTGAATAATTTATTTTATAATAAATTCATAATTTCATTATTTATTTTTGTATCTACGCGCTTTTTATATTCACCTGGAATGTAAAATAGCATAACTGCTATCAGGAGGTACAAATAGCTAAACGTGAAATTCCATTTGTTTGGTAGAACATAACTCCAAGAGTCAGGATAAGTGTTGGCGTATTTTACGGCGGTATATAAACACAATAGTTCACCAGTCACGCCCAATGGGTATAATATGATAAATGTAGTATATCTAGAAGCACATTTCCATTTAATGCTTAAATATATAACTTACATATATAAAAGTAATTTTAAGCCTGTATCAGACTACCCTATCAGACTGCAATAATGGACCAATCACAATAAGACCGATTCAATGTGATTGGTCCATTATTGGTCAACAGCCAGAGTTGGGTTGGTAGTCGGGTTGGCTTGCAGAGTCGGTAGTCTGATACAGGCTTTAGACTTAAAATGGTAGAAGAGATTAAACTCACCTCAGCCAGACTAATACACGTGGCATAATACCAAAGATAAGACTTATGAAATAATAGGAGTATCTAATGATCTCTGCAATAGACCACGCAATGAGAGCTAGTGGAAGACCTGGAGACGCAGCAGCATATGTATAAGGAGTAGCCAGAAGGACTCCGTCTACAAGCATGATACGACTAAGAACTTGAGCCAATGTGATTAAAACATTGGATGGTACCAGTCCGATTCCTGCGTGTATTATCTGAAATAGGAAGCTTTTAAATGAACTGTGCATAATTAACACAACACTTTAAGAGATAAATCTATGTAGAAACTAGGTAACACTTACAGTTTCTAATTTATTAAAACATTTCATAAAATTTGTATCTCAGTGTTATGTTTATCAATAATTTTAATTAAATTTTAGTCTTAACTATAACAACTTTTTTGGATTATAATTTTTGCTGTTTGATATATTTTCAGTAAAAATTTAAAATCTAAGACTCAATATTTGGCTTAAAGGCTTCAAATAATTAATTATCTACCTGCCTTATTATATTCAACTAAGTTCTAAGATCGTTAAATACCTCCAATAGAGCTGCATTTTGGAAAATGATTACAGGTAGCTTGGTTTTATTCCACAAGGTACTATCTGAGGAGGAAGATTCAAGATAATGTTGTATAATCTGATACAATATGTAACTCCATCTGAAATAAAAGAATTTATTCCCAAATTAATTTAAGAAAAAAAACAAAGAAAACTCTATAATAAACTATATAATAGAGTAATAAAAAAGTTATACAATATTGCATTAAAAAGTTATTAATTACGTCAAAACAGAGAATTTAGGATTGTTTATTTTGTTATTTACAAGAGAAAACGTACCCCAAAGTCTGGCCGAGATTATACGACGCTAGATACAATTTGGAGAAAGTGCTTGGTTTCTTGGATTTCACTCCTGCCATGTTTACGTAAAAATTCGTTAACGTCCTAATTCGCAATGACTCAAATTCAAGCCGATATCTGCTGATACCCTTGCTCAACCCTGGAGAATGTAATCACTCTTTAATATGCATACACATCTATATGTAATAAAAAAATCTTAATCATTGTGTCTTTGAACGTCACGTAAATATTTATAAGGAAAAAAACTGCGAGGTAAGCATGGCAAAATATCTCGAATTGCGACTCACTCAGCGATTCTTGCAACGATATACATAATTTTAATGAAACAACGGATTAATGAATTCTGCACTCTCACCAAACATCAACTTTCAGGGTGCAAATGCAGCGGAATAGAGGAACGCGGAACGAGAGCGGAACCAATAAAACGCAGGACTAAGCCATAAAAAATGGGCGAATCATAGTCGATTATTCCCCTCGGATTCGATTATAATTGGTCAATTCTTACGGCTTAAGTCTTAAAACTATTGTAGATCCGGACTGACGGAAGGTGTGTGCCATGGGCCTGTAAACTTTACTCCGGATCTACAATAGGGTTTTAAGCCTTAAGCCATAAGAAATGGGCGAATCACAGTCGATTATTCCCCTCGGATTTGACTGTAATTAGTCAATTTCTTATAGCTTTAGTCTTAAAACACCTATTGTAGATCCGGACTTACCAAGAAGTTGGAACAATCGGCCCCTATTGGCCTATTCAAAGCAAGAAAATTAAACAATAATATGAAGGAAAAAATATGATTGATCGGTAAATAAGATGAATCATCGCATGTAAGGGATTTGAGATACACGCTGCATAGAAACATGCCTCGAGCTTGGCCTTCCACTCGCATACTCGTATCATTACCAATCATTATGCGCGTCGCGATGGTCGCGAATTGCAAGTAGCTTTGTTTTTGTTTAGACATTTGATTTATATCATTTATATGTACGAAGTTGTGTGAATGAATCTCGCGCGCTAAGTGATCAAATCGCACTACCAAACAAGAGCGAATGAGAGATTGTGAGAGATAAAAGTGAGATAAAGGAAAACGATAATCTCGTCCCGAAGAGATAAAAACGTGTTCGTACACTTTACATTACATACATTCGACGACTTTGATTTTATAAAGGTCTCGCGCGAGAGATACTTATTCTAAGAGTACGAAATTCGCACGAATTAACTCTGCAAATTGTCGCAAATCGATTCGAGCGAGCGAGGAAGAATGACGCACCCCGCCAGGATTTTCACCGCGCGAATTATCACGTTTGACATAATCAACATCATGCATCTTTCGACAGTCAGCTGTGGTCGTGATTTATGAAGCAATAATCTTATCTCTGAGGTAACGCAGTAAAAGACGCACGGTAAACACACCTGCCTAAATCCTCTCACACTCGTATATAGCAAAGCAAGCGCGAAGGGGATTCTTAAAAGCACGTGATCCTACGTGGTGGAAAGTTAACGCCAAGATGCATCGTATTGTCGAGTTGGTCGCAAATAGCGCTTTGCTGTGGATTATCCTCCAGACCGCGATGAGTGTGCTGGTCACCGTCCTGTATGAGTTTTGCATTCCCTGGATTATTTGGGGCTCACTGATTGTCGTGATAGTGTTGAAATTGGTCCGAGTGTCTCCTCCGCCTACCAGCACTATACAAGAGGTGCTCGGCGTGAATCCGCTCCTCCTGAGCAAAGATAACTCCGTGTCCGAAAACCACGGTAATGGAGAGCAATATTGCATGCGAGTGGTGGCCCACCGTGGTGGAGGATACGATTATCCTGAGAACAGTTTGTTGGCTTTCCGAAATGTAAAGTTACACCCTTCGATGTAGCTTAACTTTTATAATATCTAAGATTTTTGTAGTAGTTAGTCTTTTGTGTGTCTTGATCTTATTGGCTTGTTTAACATTTATTATTGCTTGATAATGTAAGGAAGAAGGAACTAAAAATATAATAATGCATTGTCCTATTTAATCATTGAATATTTCTTGTAACTTTAAACATACTAATTTTTTTTTACGTATTATCTGACACATTTATTTTAGATATATTCCTTGGTGAATCTAAACTTTTTACAGAGCAGAGGAAAGGGTTGTAGTGCAGTGGAGCTTGATTTACGCCTAACAAAGGATAACATTCCAATAATATTCCATGATTCAACAATCGAAAGACTCACAGGCCAGGCAGGAACGATTAGTGAAATGACATGGGAAGAATTGAGGGAATTTGATATAACTTATAATCACCCACTTAAGTACGATTATATATATTTCAGCTTAATCATAATCTTTTGTATAAAATACATGCCTATAATGTATCTCAGAGTATTTTAAGATATATTCCTAAAAGAAAAATAATTGTTTTGCCAAAGGAACAAATTTTCCGAAGGCGAAAGGATCGCACTGTTAGACGACGCATTGCAAGAATGTCTGAACAGCGAGCAAAGAATAATTATAGATATAAAAGAGACGAAGCTGGATGTCGTGCAAGTTGTTCTAGACGCCTACAAAAAGTATCCAAAATTGTTCCAGAGAGGCGTTGTGTCGAGTTTTAATCCAATCGTAGTGTACATGGTACATACAATATAAATGTTGATTAATATCACTTAAATTATTTATCTATTTCGACTGTGAATATATTTTTGATTTTATATTCAGATTAGGAAGAAAGAGCCGCGTATTGTTTCAAGTCTCGCTTGGAGGCCGTATTTTTTCTCGAGAGCATCGTACGTCGGTCTGGAAGCACCTGGCCCAGTACGATATCATAATCCATTTAAGCATTTGGCAGCTTGCCTCTTGGAAATTTTGTATGAATGGCTACTACCGAGCTTTGTCTACTATGTGGTTGGCGTTTCCGCCATGCTATTGCACAAGGACATAGTAAACCCGTAAGTAACGTTATTAACTTAATTTTCATGTTATATATATATATATTTTCACAAGAACGAGTACATGTATATATGATTTTCATTTCAGACGCGTAATCGAACGATGGCGTGAACGCGGTGTCCGCGTGATGGCATGGACAGTGAATCGGCCGTCGGAGAAAGTGCATTTCTCGAGGTTCCTTAAAGTCACCTATTTAACCGATACGCTACATCTAGAAAAGGACATGTAGTAATGTCCGATATATTTTTGTTCAGTATTAAATTTCAAAGACTTTGTACCATACGCTGGCATTATGCACGTACAAATTTTTATACTTTCGATTATACAGATTATAATCATCGTCATTGATATCAACCATCTAGTCGGGTCGTAAAAAAATTGTCATAACGACTTACATTACTTTAAACATAGATTATAAGGCACTTATTTTATGTCTTGTACAAGGCACATATGTATGTGCGAATAGCGATAATAAAATTATTCGTTACATTAAGGGGATTTAAATGGACGGAGTTATCAATGGTTTCCTGTGCTATAACGAGATTCATTATAGCTTTCTAATTACCAAGAGTAAATTGATTACTATATAAAAGATTTTTTTAAAAGTACATATTAAATATAGAACTATAAAAATTATCCATTTTTCACACATTATCGATAGAATCTTCAAAATAAATCGTTTTTTTCATGATTGCACAGATTTTACAATAAATATATGTAAAAAATATGGAAAAATATCCTTTTAAATATAATGTCCATAATCACATTTCACAATTAGAACCATAAATATAGTTATTTGATCATCAGTAATATCGAATGCAATCTTCGTATTGCTTAGAATAATTAATGTAATGTCTTCTTTGGATAATGTGTAATGTCATAAAAAAATGGCACGATTTATACATCAGGCCGAGAAGGGATTAAAAACGAGTATCTAAGAGTATTATAGCAAAATTGCAAAAGAAAAGGAAAGTCAGTCGGTGCGATACAAAAATTTGTAAACATACGATACTTAAATTTGTGTTCAAGACAGCTCTTCTCAAACAATAGTGGTAAGTTTACTTTTACGAGATTCCATACCTTCAATGAGACCAGTTAATAGATCTTCCATCTCTGTGGTGGCACGTTTCAATTTACAATTGTCATTGCCATCGTACGATTCTACAAAAGCGTGTGTATACATTAGCTATGTACATATTTACGTTTCATGCTGCATAACTTACCATCGAAGCAATCATTGGCAACCATATTTTGCAGTCTATCTAATATATCATTAAGATCTCCTTGAATATTTTGCAAACTACTATGTTGCGAGTGTTTGTCAGGGCGCTGCAGGGAAGACGGCGTGTTGTCTCTATGAATGCCACTTGGAGATTGAGAAGCTATCAGTGATGTGTCGTTATCTGTACTACTAATTGCCGTATTGGTCGCGTAATTGTCGTCTTTGCAATTTGAATTGCCAGCGGCTAACCATTGAGAAAAACCACTGTCGGTTGCATTCAATTCTCTCCTTCTTGTTCCTAATTTAACAAGTATTCACACAAATTTATGAATTTCTTTCTAATTATGTTAATGTATTTTGCATTTACCTCCAATCCAAGTACTTAATTCTATATGATTATTTTCTTTATTCGCCTCTGCCGTACGTTCTATAGGTGATGATGTATTAAAATTATCCAATGTTAATTTGTTATTTCTATGTTGCAATTTGACTCCTGGTTGGTTTGTGTTGTTTTGCCTGATAATCGGGCTCAATTCGAATTCTAGAGGCAAAGCTGTTAATCTGGATGATAAGGGTGGCAGCATCGGAGTACTTTGCATACGAGTGATAATCTGTGGCACTTGGGCCGTATCGGTGAATAAATATTTCTGTAAAAATATTAAACATCTTCAGTGAATAATGCCTAAAGAATCTTTAACTTAATGTACCTTAAGTAATTTCAATCGTTGCAGTTGAGATTCGATAGTCGCTCTATGACGTTGTAATCTTTCTGCTTTTGTGCCCTGTATATCTAGCAACTCAATTTGCAATTGCCGATTTTCTTCTTCCAAGTGCATTATGATACTTTGTAATTCTTTTTGTGGATCAGTTAGAATTTTTCGTTTAACTGTGCTCCTTAATGAGCTGTAATCCATTCGTCTAGTTTCGTTACTAAAAGAAAATGTATTTTTCTACTAAAGAATAATTATTTTTAAAACCGCAGAAGTGCAATTTATATGTACAACAAACCTGGCAGCATCTATGACCGAATCCTCTACCGGTACTGTTCTAGTAGGACACAATCTCAGCTTATTTCTGATCAATTCAAGGATCAGCTTTGTAATTTCACGATGTGAAGTCTACGAAAGAATTGCTTCTGAGTAATATATTTTACACATAGAAAAGGAATTACAGAAAAGAAATCTAAACATTATACCTTTACACAAAACTCACGAATTGGATGTTTCAATTTGTGTTTATTCGATGTCTTTCCTAAGAGAAAACAATCCTGGCATTGATGATATCCTGTGCATTTTAAACACGTATACCTTGGTCCCTGTACTGGTGTTACCTTACACGAGGAACATCTGATATTATGTACAACTGCAAATAAAAATTGTTTATTATTATATTTAGATACACGCGGAACTTTAACTTTGTCACTTACTGTGTTCTGCAGATTTTATTCGATTGAATGTTGTTATCCAAACTAACAATGGAGGTTCCTGCATAATCCATGCGGCAAATTCTACTTCAGTAATCCCAAGACCACCCTGAGACTAAAATGGATTGACAAAATGATTAAAGAACTCATTTTTAATAGATAATGAACACAAAAATAGTTCTGTTTATACCTTTATAAAACAGGCATCTATATGTGACTGAATCTGTTCGTATCCATATGCTATACTTTCTCCTAGCATTTCTGTTATTTTGCAGATATTTGTTAATAAAGTATGCAAACCAGCTCGAGATAAACATGCATTGTGATCAGCTAATTGTTGATATAAATATCCATATTTCTCTTGTAATTTACCATTGCACAGCAATACTAACGCAACTTTTACTGAAAATACTAAAATATTTCCAGTATTTTGTCTGCAATATTAAACGCATTTTCATATTATTTCAAAATTTCCTTTTTATTGTAATTATTATTAAGAGTATATATGTGCATATTTAAAGAGGTATAAAAACTTACTTGTCAAAAGTATTTAGGATATAATTTGTGGCAAGCTTGGTCACAAGGTCAACATTAAAATTGAAATTACTTTCTTTCTGTGCCGCGAAATAGATGTCAGATAGAACATCCTCAATTTCACTCGGGTCTAAGTTGACACAATTTTCAGTGATAGAGAGTCTGTGACGTTCGAATACTCCTGCTATTAATTCCAACTGTACGTGTGTCACTAAGTGAGAATAAAAGAGTTTGAGAAAATCAGTGATATTTCATTCAACAGATCAGATGAGGTTGATTATACTTACTATTCAATTCTCTATGTAATATCTGCATTTTTGCAGCGGTTCTATATGATGGATAACGAATAGCGTTGCACTCTTGCATGGATCGCATGATATTCTCCATGATAGAATATTGCCACTCTGAATTGCTCGATATTTAACTATAAATGGTTTTCAAGCGCAAAGTTTAAATGCTTGCCAATGTAATAATCAAAAAGTCAATTTTTTTAAATTTACATGAAATCATTGGATATATATTCTTAACTTCATCAGTAAAGTAGGAAAACAAAATAAAAAGTAAATAAAATTGTAATATGCAAATGGATATATTTTTTATGTCCCAGTTTATAAATATATCCATTTATACAATCTGTTTAATATATATACATATATAGCATTACATAAAATAATATATTAATAATCCTAATACAAGAATAAATTGTATTAAAAAATATTTCACCTGTTAGCTTTAATTGTTAAAAGATATAGCATTCAATGTTCTACTTGTGCCATAAATAGCCCAGAAAATGAGTTTTTAATTACAATTAATGTATATAAATAATAATTTAATATTTTTCGTATTTTTTTATGATAAATTAACAAGCGTGATCGATTCGACATCAGTTCAATAAAAGACATAAAAATATATCAACATAAAGTTGAAACAAATTATAAGTGTGTCAGAGGACAGTATTTTTACGAGAATTATCGAAAGATGCTTACTCTCTGTCATCTCGACATAATTTTGTAGTTTAAATATTGATGTAAACAAAAGAAACGATCTTTCACTGTGTTTAACCACGAAACGTAAAATGTATAGAGGACACAAAAGTAGGAAAACATAAAGAGTCACTAGCAGTCGATTAAAAACCGAACCTAACGTGACGAATGGACTAATGGTACTCCGTTCTGGTAATAATTATTCATTATTACAGAATTGCGAGCAAATCTATAATTGCATAAGATTGAATTGCTCAAAGAATTGTCTCAGATAATATTAGACGCATCATAAATAAAACGCTCGTGCCGCGGCCTTAACAGTGCGCTCCAAAATAGAAAATTACATTACGCGCGAGCGAGATGACAATTGTGTAATATCCTGCAAGACGTGAGCACACGTTGTAACAAGACATAAAGTTTACGAAATAATAAATAAGCTATTAGAATAAGTTATTGGAAGACATCCAATCATGTCGGAAAAATTCGAGGACGGGCAATTCAGCGACGTTGAGGAGGATACACTACCTTGGGCGTAAGTTCCATGTGTTTGTTTACATTGTAAATTCTAAAAAGAGAGAGAGAGATGATAAGATAACGGAAAAAAGAGAAAAAGAGAATAATGACAAAAGAGTTAATTAAACTGCGAGTCGAGGATTAAGAATATTTATAAAATTGTTTGCAAATCTGTTGTATTGATCTTTGTAAGAAAGGCTGTTTATTTACATTTATATCATTTTACACAGGCAGAACGAATTCAAAGGAAAACCTTTATCTAATGGGTATCCCAAGGAGCAACTCGAAACAGAAGTAGCCAATCTGCACATTACAGACAGTAAAGAGAATAATAGAGACAATATCGATGACGATTATTACTGTAACAATGATTACGATTTGGATGAAAAGAAGAATACTGTCATAAAAACAAGTTCGCAGAGATCCAACACTCAAATTGAATCTACGAAGGTAACAAATTATCAACCTAAACACAAGCTGTTATCTCGTTATGCCAATAAAATTAATTTGGAGAAATATGCGGGTTCGTCATTGCCAAGCCATGTGGCCAATGTGCTAATCGAAAGCGACAAACGATTCGATAAAGATCGCATAAGGATGAAGGACAAAAGTGATCATGCGACGATTGAGAATGTATTGGATTCGCGCATCAAAAACAAACTGCACAAGCTGTTTGAGAAAGGAATACTGGCAGAAATAAATGGTTGTATCTCGACTGGAAAAGAGGCCAATGTCTATTATGCCAAGTCAAAGAATAAAGACGAGATCGCTATCAAAATATACAGAACATCCATTTTGACATTTAGAAATCGGGAAAAGTATATCAGGGGTGAATATCGTTTCGATCATGTGCATTCCCTGAGCAATCCACGCAAAATGGTGAAAGTCTGGGCGGAGAAGGAATTTTCTAATTTAAAGCGTCTAGAGCAAGGAGGTGTCCGAGCACCGCGGCCAATTTTGTCCGGTGGTCATCTGTTGTTGATGGAGTTCCTAGGATCAGATGGCTGGGCGGCACCCAAACTTAAGGACGCTGTACTTACAGATTCAAAGTCGAGAACATTGTACAGGGAATGTATTGAAATTATGTGGAAGATGTACAACAAGTGTAGACTTGTTCACGCTGACTTAAGCGAATATAACATGCTGTATCACGATGGATCAATCGTAGTCATTGATGTTTCACAGGCTGTAGATCGTGATCATTGTAACGCGATGGAATTCCTTAGGAACGACTGTAGCAATATTACAGGTATGACAAAGAAATATTTTGTCATCTTACTTAAAGTTAAAAAAGTAAATATATTTATAAAACGTATAATTTTTTCAGCATTTTTCAAAAAGTACGACGTGGGAGTTATGTCGCTCCAAGCATTGTTTGACTTTATAACAGACCCAACTATAAACGAAAATAACATGGACGAATATCTGGATATACGGATGCAGGAGGGAAATGAAGAGAAAGATCCACAGCAACAGGAAATAGAGGAGGCAGTTTTTAAGAAAGCTTACATACCTCAAAGATTGACTCAGGTATCGACGATTATTGCAAATGTATACGATGCATAATCTTTATTCCATTTTGTATTTTTTGGTAGGTGATTAATGTGGAGCGCGATATAAATCTCGCGAAATCTGGAAAAGATTTGATTTACAAGACATTGATAGGCTTGAAAGCGGACTTATCGAAGCCTGCGGAAAAACCGGAGATCCTTGCTAATAAGCACAAGGCAGATAGCAAAAGTATGAAGGAAGGGAGCGATATTTGTACCTCTTCTGAGGAAAGTGGCGATTCAGATAGCGAAAACGAAAGTGAAACAGACAGCGAGGATAATAAAATCAAATTTGTAAGCTCGGCTAGGCCTAGAAACGAAAGTCCCGAAAGTAGAAAAGTAAGTGTATTATTTATTTTTCTGCGTAATTATACATTTATGTTATTAGTTTCAAATATAATTAATCTCTGTATTCCAATTTTAGACGCGCAAGAAGGCAATCAAAGAACAGCAGGCGGAGAAGCGGAAAATCAAGATAAAAAAGCACGTGAAGAAACGTAAAATAAAAGTATCAAGAGGAGGAAAATGAATATTTGTATTTAAAAAAAATAAGAAAATTATGGAATATGTGCATTGATAATTATTAGCTTACTTAAGCCCTTAAGTAACGTTTTAAGAAAAAATAAGAATACAACAAATTGCAGGACGCGATTTTAAAAATGTTCGAGCATAATTTGACTTGAGTAAAAAATACGTGCATTATATCCTTTTTTTTGACATTATCTAGTACTTTTTTCTTCGTTTTGTAATGTATTTTTTGTCGTGGACAAAAGACGGCGCTACAATCGCGAGGAAAATAATGAGTACCATCTGATACCCAATTTACCAGAGCATGTTCGAGAACGTTGAGATTCAAACCGATTATCCGAAATGTCAATTGTCAAACAATTGTAAACAATGGCTGCGTTCAGCAGACTCAACAGTTTTGCAACCGTTTTATGATTGTCTGCTGAGATAGGACCATTCTTCTAGATCTAAAAGTATGATCCAATTAGCGCAAAGGAAACTTCCAACAGTTGCAAAACAAACGTTCTGCTGAACGCAGCCAATGTAAAAGTAATATATACGATATATCAAACTGTAGTAGGAATCAGCTTCGAGATAGAAGATCTGCTAGATACTCTAAGAAGAAAAGAAAGAGTAGGTGAATCAGAATAGCATTTTGACATTCGCGACTGCACGTATATTTATATACACGATGATATTTGTCTGTATAATTGCACGTTAGTGATGGATGCAGCCTCTATTAAAGAGAGATTTTTGACAACCGGTTGCTCGAGACTGGATGCAAAACTCGGGGGTGGCGTACCTTGCAGGGGTATCACGCAGCTTTATGGTGCTGCCGGCACTGGAAAGACACAGTTGGCTCTGCAGTTGTGCCTCACCGTCCAACTGCCGATAACCGCTGGCGGTCTCGGCGCTGGTAACGTTCAAAAAGTTTAGGAAAAATGTATAATGACCTCTATGAGAGAGTATTGGAATAAACAAAAGACTCCAATACTCTGCAACTCTAAAACACTATCTTTATATTCTTTATACGAATATTATCTTTGTAAAGCACTTGATATATTTACAAAATTAGATAATTTAATATATGATCAAATTTGTAAATAATAAATTTCTACTGTTACATTTTCAACCTTTTCTCTTTTCCTTTTGTATCTGGAATTCTTTTTAAATATTTTATGCTATTATGAAATGTTTATGGTGAAATTACTGATGTTAACAGGTGCCATATACATTTGCACAGAAACTGCTTTTCCTTCAAAACGGTTGCAACAATTGTTGAAGAAGTCAGAGATAGCCAAAACTCATTCTGTGAATGGGGATGTGATACTTGTGGACCATATAGTTACTATTGTAATTAAGATATATTATCTATTAATTGAGGGATAAAGTAAAATGTAAAAAAATTATACCGCTAACTGTACATCGCTGATGAATGTTAAAGGAAGAGTTGGTATTGTGTCTACAACGCAAAGTTCCAGTACTGATGAATGCTCGTAAAATAGGATTGTTAATTATCGATTCTATAGCTGCCCCTTACAGAGTAGAGGATTGGAAAGATGAGCTACAAGGTAGAACTAAGAGGATCATCGGAAGGCAATTACACGAACTTTGTAAAAATGATGATTTGTGCGTGATCTGCATTAATCAGGTAAACATATTTTAAATAAATGCATTGACATATTGCATGCTGATACATCTGTTTTCCAGGTTTCTACAGTTATAGATAGTCATAGACTTATTTCTGAAGATGCGAATGAGCAGCCAACTTTAGGATTCACATGGTCGAGTATGATAACCACCTCTATATATTTCTACAGAAGACTATCCTCGCGATATGCTTGCGTAATGCTTGCTTCACATTTGCCGAGGATTACTTTTCAGTTTGAGGTGGAAGAATCTGGTGTCAGGGCGGCTGACTAAAATCTGTGTTGTACAAAACAAAAATATCTTTACTTTATTCCACAAGTTTGTATATATCACGAAATATATTCTCGTCCAAGATTTTCGTTACATTTATCGTTTTATAATCGGACAATATAGTGGCATCAAACGGATCCGCTGTTCTCACATCTATATTTTCGATATCACAGTTTAATATTAACCTTGAAAATAAATATAATATTAATAAAAAATAATTATGTGTATTTCAAACGGTGATATGAATTGTACCTGAGAGAATGGAGATAGGTTCTGTGAGGTTCTATATCTTTGCCTTCGCTGTATGTGTAATCTCCTATGACTGTATGACCAATGTGATGACAATGTACTCTCAACTGGTGTCTTCTACCTGTATCAGGTGCTAGTAAGATTTTAGTGACGGGTTTTCCTTTCCAAAACCCACGTTCCAAAACAACTAGTGTTGTGTAAGATCTGCGTGGCTTGTCGCAAAAGATACTGTCGCTTGTGCACATCTTATGATTACCAGTCTTTTCTCGAATATCAGCACCTAGATCAAGAAAGAGACCAAGATGAGATTTTATCAAACTGGCTGATACTATATATTGAACGTTTTCCAGCAAGAACACAGTGTAACACAGTGAATCATTATATCTCTGTTTGCCAATGTTAAACAAGGATGAAATGATTCACTGTGTCATACTAGGTCTATTTTTTATGGTTGAACTAGTATACACTTTGGAACTTGAAGTGAGATAGGTATATGTTTGATATTTGGCAAAAATGAGTCTAGTACAGGAACAAAAAACAGGTCTATATAGAGTCCTTGCTGAAAACATCCATTGTTGCATTATCGCAATTCCTAACCAATAGGCTTGTCGATTACGATATGAGGTTTGTGTATGTGACCATGTACCAATGCTAAATAAAATTTTTGCACTTTATGATTTTCGAAAGCGGACGACGCTGCTCTGGCTGCCCTTTTATTCAACGCTATGCACATCACACCGCTCGTGGGATAATCTAACCGATGCACAAAGTGAAATTCATGGCACAATCGTGGATTAACCAAGTCCGGTAGCATCTGTCGCAATTCCATTTGAAGAGTATTCTGAAAACATTAATACCTGATTTACGGACACGTTAATTGCAAACACATGAATGAGAATGTCCTCACCTTTCTGTCAGGATTATTACTATTTATGTACATGTCGTAGGGCTTATCGATTATTAAAAAGTTCTCGCTGCGATGCATAATCTTGACGGATTTATGCTTCTCGTACCAATCGTTCAATAGTCTCTTGATGTACGAATGTATCAAACGAATTATCGTGTACATAACATTGCAGACGATCAGCGTACACATGTGTAAGAATTTGTTAACGTTTACTCTAACCATTGTTTACAGTTTACCTCGACTCCGAACGATGTTTCCACGTTGCGGCCATTTTCAGTTGTTTACATACACACGCGGAGGGAACGTTATATATATAACGTATATTATACAGGATGTCCAGAAATTAGCGTATCGGAATATCATAGCAAGATAGAGCGGATTAAACTGAGTCGAAAAGTCCTCTACCATTTTGCAATTTTCGCAATAGTTAACGAGATATTAATTACTAAAAATCGCTGAATATTGGTCTTCAATAATTTTTTACTCAAATACTATCAACTTTATAGAAAAACTGCAAGAGACAAAAATTGTGTATTTTCTTCTCACAGAACTCTATGAATTTTTTCAGAATTTTTTATCATCTTTTTAGTACTGCATTTTCTTATTTTTACCGACTTGAGAAAATACGGTATTAAAAAATTCTGAAAAAATTCATAGAGTTCTGTGAGAAGAAAATACACAATTTTTGTCTCTTGCAGTTTTTCTATAAAGTTGATAGTATTTGAGTAAAAAATTATTGAAGACCAATATTCAGCGATTTTTAGTAATTAATATCCCGTTAACTATTGCGAAAATTGCAAAATGTTAGAGGACTTTTCGACTCAGTTCAGTCCGCTCTATCTTGTTATGATATTCTGATGCATTAATTTCCGGACACCCTGTATATACATCACGCACAGCATTCGACATATACATATACTTACATCCATTCATGTATACATACAGAGTGTCCCGAATTTTTATTCGAATCAAAATATCACGGCAAAAAAATTTTCGAAAAATTAAATAAAAAAGTTATATGTATATTTTTATTTCAAGCAATAGTTTTCGAGATGTAAGGATTTAAATATAGATCAATTACAGATTATACATTTAGACGGCCACTTGTTCATGAATCTTGCGTGCGGTATAAGCATATTAATAAGCGCGTACCCTTCACCATGATTTAAACATAGTCCGCAGTATGTAATAATTTGGCCTTTGAAAATTTAATTCTTGTGATATTTTGATTTGTGAATTTTGGGACACCCTGTATACATACAATGTGTATTTATAAATATTCTTATATTTTCATACATCTATTTTAGGATAATCCATGAATACCTTCCAAGAGACACACATGACACGGTGCATCATTACATCCTTGTTGTTCGCCAATATTAAACAAGGATGAGATGATCACTGTGTTGTACTGATAACACAGGTCAACAAGGTTTTGTTGTTGGGAAGCTGTGGGTCATTTCCGACGTAATTTTCTGCGTAGAATCCGAATCTGAAATCAGAATTGGCCTATCACGTCAGGATTTTGAGATATTTGAGGATATATACTCGAAAAATGCGTTTTTTTGCTATTTTCGAAGTTATGATCATTAGAGTTTTCCACGTCTAGTGAAGAAAGAAAAACCGATATTTGTCAATAAACAAACAACTTATTATTTTTTTTATACACACCTGCAAAATATCCTTTTTTATGCATTCAGGTGCTTCGTTTATCGAGCGAATTTCGAGCATCCTAAAACTTTCAGCGAGAAAGTTGTTCATTCGGATATGAACAAATGTTCTGGAAAGTTTCATTTTCATTGCATTAATAAGTTTAAAACTAATGATTTGTTTAAAGTTGGTAGACGCCTTGCACTCAGAGCCGCAGCGCACAAGACGCGCTGTCCGTTATTCAAGGTCCTAATATATAAACAGTCACAATTGTGACTGTTTGCTGTCTTAACAATGGCCCCGCGTAAGTGTTTAAATGATCCTAACAGTTTTTGTTATATCAAATATGTCAAATAATAAATATGCATTTTGGAACGAAAAAGACGGGAAAAACGGTTACGCAAGTGGGTTAAAATGCCCGTAACTTGGCGAAAAAAAATCGTAGGTAGTCGATCAATATCTCATTTTGAAGGGTAAGAATATTACTAAATGATGCAAATAGCACAAAAGACCCAAAAAATTGGTTGCGTCCTGTACATAACCTCTAAAGTAGCATAAAAACGCATTTTTCGAGTATATATCCCCTAATATCTCAAAATCCTGACGTGATGGGCCAATTCTGGTTTCAGATTCGGATTCTACGCAGAAAATTACTTCGGAAATGACCCACAGCTTCCCGACAACATCCAAGACCCCCTTTTTTGTAGACCTGTGTAATGAATCGCTTGTTGGAAGGCGCCCAATAATTTTATGAATCATACATATGCAAACTATGTGGACTTTCATATGACGTGAACCTGCGTGATGTGTAACATAAGGATGTGAAAATGTACAAAGATGCGTGTGAGAGTGCATAAGAGAGAAAACGAGAACGAACGTACCTTCGTCTCTTTTTGATTAAGAGACTTGAGAGATTTTTGTTTTCCCTTTCAAGTTACATGTTTTTTTATAATTTTTAATTTCTTTTCTTCTTTTAAATTTTGGCTTCCCCTAATTTTTTAAATCTTTTAAATCGCAGTTGTTCAATATAATCATAGTAAATATATACATATATATGTTATATGAAAAACTTATTACAAAATAAAAATATAATATCTATTAGGCCGTATGAAACAATGACAAATCTTAACTTATTATTGGAAGTAAGTAATATAGGTAATACATTTCCTAATATGTACACTGTTAGAAATTTCTTAATGACTTTTAATTAACGTGTAAAGGAAGCTTGGTTCAAGCCCGTCAATGAAAAATAATGAATGTTGTATATGAATATTCATTTACTGATGTCTTAAATTTCATTAACATATGTGTTATTTTTAATGTATATACTTTTATTGAATTTAATATACATGTTCATTACTTTTACATGGGATATGTGTGTATGCGTGTGTGTATATATGTATATATATTATATTTCACGCATATCGCAGCGTCAGCTAAAAGTCACTGCAAATTACAAGCACATATAATACTTTCATATACATATAAAAATATAAGAATGTGAATTCATTAATGGAAGTATAATATTGATTCTACAATGAGTCAGAAATCTCAAATCTTAATCAGCCTTAACCTAAATAGGTGACTATGATTTTTCCTATCTACAAGCTGTTAATTATACAGCAAGTCGTTTAGCTCGACTAATGGGAAGGAATAAAGTCGAATTTGACCAGACTTAAGAAAATCGGTTATAATCTTATTGTTAGTCGTACAAATCGACTGTTGGCCAACTTCACCGCGATTCATCGATAAGACCGACTACCGATTCATTATAGAATCAACTTTATACTTACATTGATGTACTTATATTCTTATATTCACAATATGCACTAATAAACATAGCACTTTCCACGGCAATCATAATCTCGATACAAGCGGATGTCCAGAATAGTCTAGAGATCAGTAAAAACAGTTGATGGGTTTGTTTCGCACAATCACCGCGAAAAGCGCTAAAATTTAATGAATATGTACATTAAAGTTTACTTAATTTACAGTGAATTGAAATATTATTTATCTCCGTATATTAAAAGTATATTAAATTTCAATACATTTATATATTTTAATTTACTTGAATTTAATTTCATTAACATATACATTAAATATCGTTTTAGTTACGAGTGATTTAAATATCATTTACCATTGTATATTAAAAGTTCATGAAATTTCATGACATTTTTAACAGTGTAGAATGTTTAAAATCGACACACATAAGACAATTTTAAGATATTTTTAAGAATTCAATTTTTAAGAAACATCTTTAAGATATTTCATAAAGAACTCTAAAAGATATCTAAAAATGCACAAATTTTAGATATTTTGCACACTGGGTTAATGATAATATAATACTGTTTTAATATCAATATAAAGCTATGTTCCAAAATTCATTGTCAGCGTCGAAGACTTAAGCTTACGTTGCAGCTTAAGTGCATTACAAATTTTCAGCGCTGACAGTAGAATTTGGAACACAGCCATAATCGACCATTAACAAACAATGCGGGGATTTTATTGCATTTTCTGATAATTGAAATAAGGAATTATCACGCGGATAAATTGATGGAGACGTAGGAGATTTGTATGTAGAACGGCTATACATTCTCATTTACATAGATGACACAAAGCTTGTGCCGACGAGATACGTATCTAGAGAGGAATCGAGTGCCATACACAAAAAGATCCTCTCTCGACATGTATTCGCTCAAGGAGATTGCATCCATCGTGTCTACTCGACGTAAAATATAATCGAGCGATCGAGCAAATGAAAGGATTTTTCATCTCGTTATTACATAATATTTTATTTACTTTAACTTTTCTATCAGAAATGGTTCTATCACAAAGAATCTGAACGTAGAGATAATAATATAAATTTACACAAGACTAAATCTCGATTGTCAAATTACGTCGTTCAAATCATTTAAGTGTTATTATAATTAAAAAACAAAATTGCATTAATTATAAAACAAATTTAAAGTATATTAAATCCAAGGTTGGCAAGTAACGCGTTACTTGTAACGCCGTTACTTTGTTGATCGTTACCTTGTTATAATAACAATTTGATAATGACATTGTGAATTTTTTATGATGGTAATGCTAACATCAGAGTTAGAAAAATCAATCGTTACTTGTAATGGATTGAAAAAGTCATTCGTTACTGAAAAAAATAACTCCTAATTTGTAACGCGTTACTTTTTAGTAACGAGTAACGTTACGCGTTACTCGTTATACTTATAATTTTTTCGGTGTAACGCATAATAGTCACAAGTTACTTTTCAAAGTGACTTTTCTAACTTTAGTACAATCTTAGCGTTTAGTTAGTTAGCGTTATCGTCATAAAAAATTGCAACATTGTCATCAAATTGTTTGCTATAAAAAGTAACGACAAAGTAACTGAAAAGTAACGTTTGCCAACCCTGATTAAATCTATGAATGCAAGGAAAGCACTTTTTTTTATTGTTCTTCACTGAAAACTATATAATTCAAACATCATCCTGGTAATCGGAATAAGATAAAAGTTATAATCGACGTTAAAAAAGATCGATTAGATTAATGAGTGCTTAGAGAGTTACTTCAAGTTACCTCGCGCACTTATTTGGTACTTCGCGTGCAAACGTATACACGTGCATGCACGTCGTCCGGAGAAAATTTGTGCAATCCGAGCATTCGTACCGAATGCAGGTGACGGTAGCGGTGGCACGCTAGATGAGACGGGGATACGTTATGCAAGTTTGCATCACAGAGAAGTTTATTGCGTCAGAGTGGATCGTCAGTTCTACGTGCAGACAGAGAAGTCGCGATGTTTAGGCTTTTTACTTTTTATAATTGGAGGACATACATTTCATGCGCATGTCATTATCATCAATGGCATTTAAACGCGTCACGAGGAGCAGAGGTCGGCTAATTTTTTCTGTAAAGGACCAGAGATAATATAAACATTTTTTTAAGTTTTACAAATCAAAACTTTCCATAAATTTTTTATTCAATTCAAAATATATGATAATAATATAATAATAATAGAATATAGATAGATAATAATACACATATAAATAGTAATAACATTACTATAATTTGACGACCCTTGCGCTAAAGTGTGGATTTTTTTATCCTTCCACTGACAGAGGAAAAATTAATAAAATAAATTGAATGATGCGGTTACGTATACCATGATTAATTAAGCACGCGGAACACGGTGTCTGCGCTATGTGTGTTATAGTCTTATATCTACACATACACGGAATGTAGGTAATTCCTCAATTTTACATCATAAAGCTTAAGAAAAGATACTGCTAAGCATACATTTTTACGTTCTTTCGCGCAGTATAGATCGGAGCGATATATCAAGGACCACGTCAAAGGTACTACGTGAGACGATTTAGAGGCGCTCCAGATGATTACGAGTTAACGATTTGCGGTGCAACTCTGACGGGAGTCTCGATCGGCGAGATATAGAGCGCGAATCTTCTCGTGAGCATACGCTTACGTATACGCCGATCCGATTCTTTTCCATCGATCCCGTGCAGCATCTTGTGACACACTTGCGTCGAACGTTGCTGTAAATCTTGCCGATTGCACCAAACTATGATCTAGAAACGCGGATGAGCCCCAGGATATATAAAGACCGGAGCAAGCCTCGTGTTTGTCATTCCCTCGAGAAATCCATCCTGCGCTAAAAGGGTAGCAAGAGACAGGGAGAGCGAGTCTCCCTCGGAGGGATAGCTAGAGTAACAGAAATTCGATTTCTTTTTTTATCACTGGAGAGCATTATGGGAATCGTCAATATGCTTAAGGTGAGAAGAAATAATATCTAGCTTCACACGAAACATGAAACTAATGGATGTATCTTCAAATATTTTGAAATTTAGAAATTACTTTGTTGAGAAGAAGTTGATCATGTATTCATGAGAAAGTATATTTATTTCTGGCATATATATCAATAACAAATATTGTGCTTATATTTTTTTACAATATTATAGTTAAGACTTTACCCTAATAGCACACTTTATTCGAAGGACATTCTGGCGAACGTTCTTAGGACATAGAGATATCCTCTGAATGTTCTTTGGAAATGTCCCTTGGAGATCTGTGCTATTAGGGTATCTCAACAAAAATTTATATAGTGTGGATATTATACAATACAATTATACAATTAATTATTTAATCTGATATGAGATTAGATGCAAAGAGGATTGTTTAACATTTTGGAGCAAAATTAACATTATTCAAATAATTTTGTTATTTATAATACATCTTTATGATTTATAAAATTCTTGTCACAGATCAGTGGAACATTTATTGCGATGTTAGCCGTGGTGCGTTCGGAACCTCCGGTTAATTCGTATCTACCTCCAGGAACGGGCACCTCTGGTGCGAATGGCGGTCGGACCGATCTGTCCACCCAATACGGAGCGCCGAATTTCAATAACAAGGGTGATGTTAATGGAAACAGTGGCGCAACAAGTTTCGGAGGGCCCGGCGCAGGTAATGGTCCGTCAAAACTTTACGACGTACCCAGAGGAAATGCTGGCGGAAATGGTTTAGGTCAGTTTCGAGGAAATGGATTTGAGGGTGGACAACCTTCTAGTTCTTACGGCGCTCCTAACGGTGGCTTTGGTGAAAACCGCGGTAACGGAGGAAGACCGTCAACTAGCTATGGCGTTCCCGACTCAAGTGGGAATAACAGGGGTGGTTTCGGAAATGGAGGTAGCGAAGGAAGACCATCCACTAGTTACGGTGTTCCCGATACAAGTAGGAACAACGGCGGTGGTTTTGGAAACGTAGGCAACGAAGACAAGCCGTTGACTAATTATGGCATTCCCGACGGAAGTGGAAACAAAGAAGGTGGTTTCGGAAATGTAGGTAACGAAGGAAGACCGTCAACTAGCTACGGTATTCCCGGTGTGAATGGGAACCAAGGTGGTTTTAGAAACGGAGGTATCGGAGGAAGACCATCGACTAGCTATGGTGTTCCTGGTGCGAATGGGAACAACGGTGATGGTTTCGGAAACGTAGGAAGACCATCGACTAGCTACGGTATTCCCGATGCGAGGGGTAATAATGGGGGTGGTTTCAGAAACGGAGATATCGGAGGAAGACCATCGACTAATTATGGCGTTCCCGGGGCAAACGGAAACCACGGGGGCGGAAACGGTGGCAACGGAAGGCCCTCGAGTAATTACGGTGTACCTGGAGCAAATGGAAATACGAATGGTAAAGGTCGCTCGAATGGAAATAGTGGCGGAGGACCATCGAATAACTACGGATCTTCGAATGGATTCGGTAAAGGATTATCAACCAGTTACGGTCCACCTAATAGAGATGGAAATGATAATCATTATCCATCGGGAGACTCAAATAGAGGAAATTTTATAAACGATGGAATTAACGGCTATCCATCTGGAAGTCCAAATGGAAACGCAGGGAATTTTGGGCACGGCGATGAAAGTTTTGGAAGAGGGGGAGAAGGAGGAGAAAGAACTGGCGAAGGTTACAATGCCAACGCACAAGAAGAAAGTACTGTAAGTACAGTATATAAATCTCATTGAAATAATTAGACCAGAAGCGAATGCGACAATTATTAGAGATGGATTGCAGAAACATTTTCTTCAGAAATATTTACCAGATTTTCTGATATTTGTCAGGCTACTTTTATTTCAGCGGTAGATTTGAAAATTATCTTATGTTATCTCATTTTCAGGAACGGACGAAATACGAGTTTTCATATAAAGTGAAGGATCAGCAAACCGGCAGCGATTACAGTCACACGGAGACTAGAGACGGTGACCATGCTCAAGGCGAGTTCAACGTTTTGCTTCCAGATGGTAGAAAGCAGATTGTTGAGTATGAGGCTGATCAGGATGGATTTAAACCACAAATTAGATACGAGGGTGAAGCGAATGCCGACGGAGGATATGGCTCCGGCGGACTGAATGATAACAATGACGGTTATTCTTCTGGTCGACCGGGTAGCGAAAACGGTGGCTTTGCGAATAATGGAGGCAGTAGTAACGGTGGTTATCCGAGTGGTGGCCCCGGCGAGGGAAAGCTCGGTGGATTTAATAGCGGAGGCAGCAGCGGTTATCAATCGGGAAGACCAGGTGCGATAAGATTGCGATCTGCCATTTAATTGAATCAAAGTGACGCGAAAGAGTGGAAATTTCCAAGAATGTATTAAAAAACTTTTGTATGATAATGAGATATTTAAATTCTTTATATTAAACCCTATATTAAAGAATCGAATTTTAAAATTAAGAAGTATTAATGTTCTACTTTAAAAAATTTGATTTTTCTCTCACTCTCTTTCACTTCTGTTTATAAAGTAATAAAGAGAACATATAATTTCCGCAGAAAAATAATAAATTACTTTATGCATATACATTAACCATTTTGTAATTCATTGATTGACAATCGATTTATGTTTTATAGCAGGACAATCCTTTGGCCGAGATAATGCTGGTGGTTTGAGTAATGATATCGGCGGATACTTTTCCAATTCTCCTAGCAACAACATTGGCGGCAGTGACAATGCGAATGTTGGAAGCAATAGACAAAACGGCGGTAATAGTGGATATCAATATTAAAAAAACATATAGTTCAATAGATTTAGAGACTATAACTGTTTTGGATAATTTTGCATAAAGGTGACGAATTTTAAACGTAAACAGTTATTTAACATAAAATTATTTGTATATTTTGCCAAATTATTATTATTTGATATTTAATCACACGGATAATGGGTCATATTTCCATATGACCATATTATTACATATATCATATTACCATATTATGCGTTTACGAGATTTTTTATCAACAAAAGAAATAAATTTATTAAAATATAAAGATACATTTCTTGCGCTCTATAAATTCGTTAAATAAAATTTATAAATTTATTATTAATGTTTCGCGCTCATAGCATGACTTATTTAAACTTGTGTAGTAACTTTTAGTTAGTGAGCAACAAAGAAAAAAATAAACAAACTGCATAACTGACATTGATACAAAATTTTTCTTTATTATTAGGTTATTCCAAAAATCGTTTTCTTTTTTTTATTTTATGAACGACACAATTTACTGAAGTATATACGAGCCATTCCAACATCTTTCTTCGTCTCTCTGAAAGCTTCATAATATCATTTTTTCGAAATTTTTTTTATTTACTGAAAAAATACTGATTGAGGTTAAAATACTGATTAAGATTTTTTTATGTTATTCAAAGAGCTGAACTTTTTATTACGAAGAAAATTTTTTAGAGAAAGGAACAAGTAATAGTTAGAAGGGATGAACTCCAGAGAATAAAAAGGATAGGATAGAACATCCCAATCAAACGCTAGCAATTTGTTTCAAGCGACCAAAGAGACGTGCGTTCGAAACAAGTTGCTGGCGTTTGATTGGGATGTTCTACCCTATTCTCGTTACTTTCTGGATCTTTCGCCCCTTCTGACTACTACTTGTAGACTGAAATACACGTACGTAATAGAGCAGAATGGCTCGTATCTACTTCGATAAATTGTGTTGCTTACAGTTAAAAAAAAACGTAAAAGAACGAAAAGAACTTTTGGACTCATTTAATACAAAACGTATTTTTCTTCATACAATTGTTCATTGCGATTAGTTGAAAGACATGTATTTTCGATTTCTATATGCTTTAAAAAAACAAATATATACGAAAATATTATATAATAGTGAAATTAGCACGAAGAGCCAGACATAAAAACCGTTATATGGAATTAGACATTGTATACTATGTGCATGCAGCTGCATAGAATAATTTTGTCCTCTTATGCCGAACTAATTTCGCACTTCCGTGGCGTGCTCGGGGGAGCGCAACCTTAAGGGTCGCACGACGCGCTCGTACGACAAAGATTAACACGGCAGAAACATAGCCGATGTGTACAATTACGTAGCTCTGTATCCGGCTTGCGTTATATCTCGTGCGACCCGCTCGCTCGGCCGTCGACAGGAAGTCAAACTCGGCCCGGTCCGCCATACGTGTGAATCTCCGGGCATTAAAACGCGCGCGCGTTGCAGCCGGTCGCGGTTTCCCAAACGGCCCCCGCGATGTGCCCACACACCGACGAGAGAATCGTGAAAGGCAACACAAAAGTCACCTCCGATTCCGTTGTTTTACCGGATTGAGTCGCCGAGATACAAAATTTGACAGATCTGAAGTGATAAAAAAAATTCTCTGAGAAAACTATAAAAAATAATCCTCTAACACTTTGAGAGAGAAAGAAAAGATAAAAAATAAAAATATGCATATTATATATATAATTTAAAATTATTACGAGTTCATCGTAAAGAGATGAAAATTTGAGATTTCCCTATAAAGAAAAAACTTAACTTTAAGATCTCTTTCCTTGAAAGCTTGAAAGAAGAAGCTTGCAAGAAGAAAGATTTATTTGACTCTTCTATTTCTTTGAGAGAAACGTCTGTGTAAGTATTATTGTCCCAAACTTTTTCACGCAAATCCTGTTTCTTTTTAAAATAAAATATCTAAATGTCCGCGCCTATTGCGTAAGTTTCACGCAGGACGATTGTGGGTCTTAGTTAGGTGGACATTTTCGTGACGTAGCGTGAAATTCTCGCATTCACACGGGACGACGCATCGGTAATATTTCATAATTAGTTGCAATTCAATTTGTATGGCGGTGATATGCGTGCGCGTATGCGTAGACACACGCGTGCAAATGCGCATAAATATAGCCAGCGCAACCAGGAACAAGAGAAACAGGTTCCAGCCACGGTACCGTAGATCCTTAAGGCATCATTGAGCGAATGGTAAACCAGCTGCGCCCGCTGCTCGGGATTTCACTGTAAATGTCAACCTAAGGCACGCGAAACGTCCCTCCGATTTAAAGGAAAGTCATTCCGCAAACCGAGCCGTATAATAAAGTCATTGCGCAAACGCGAAGGGATGAAAGACGGTGTTCATTCAACGACCGACACTCGCATGCGCCTCCGGTCCCTCGTTCTCGCATGAAAATATTAGCGAAGAAACAAAGTTAACGTTTCTCGTTAACTTTCAAAGCATGAATCGCTTATTCATGAGAAAAAGTCAATGGCTCACAATAAAGTGACAAAATAAGAAACGAACAAATAGAATAACAATATCGATTTTGTCAATCGATTTGCTTAAGCGATATTATGTGGCTAGGAGGCTGATCGAATAATCAGATATTTATTAAAGATTATTGTAATATTGACGCGAAGAGATTCACGCGCCTTGCCCCGAACTTTCCAAACTTTCCTAACGCCATGGTCGCTTTTTAATTTCGAAAGATGAAAAAGATATTGTTATACGTGTTGCGAAGCGACGTAGCCCCGTTACGCTTAAACAGAGATACTTGCCGAGCACATTAGAAAGTTGCGGACTTTATGAAAGTACATGAGCCCAAGTATCGTTAATTACCGCTCCTCTACGAGTGCGAAGTGGTCTTCTAACGTCCACGAGGATGCTAAACACCGCCCTCGCCGCCAAAGATCAGTCTAATTATTTTACAGCGATGTGAAAATTGCCAGATCATCGCAAAACAATTTCGCGCCATTCGATACTTCCTGTCAGTGAAGTCTGAAATCATTCATATCTTTAAAACATCAAATTATTCTCACATTACTATATGATATTTTATACTTCCCGCTTAGTAAATGTAAATTAAAAGATATTAATTAGTCTATGCACACAGGGTGATCTAAAAAAAATCATACATGGTAGATAGTACACCCTGTATAAAAGATAGTACGATACTTGGAGAACAAATACCGAGCTTATAATAATTTATTGATTCCAACGACATTTCTTGTTAATACTAAGAGATCTATATTTTGTAATTATTATTTTTAAGTAAGTTTCCGCATTTTTTATACTAAAAAACCGAAATTGAAAATATGGTGCGTTAACTTTCCGAATGATATTTCTCTTCTAAAGTACAAGAAAACGATAAATATTTCTACTTAAGCATTCTTTGATTGGCCAATTGGTAAAATTTTCTCTTCTGATTAGTCAAACAAATGCTTCGAAGCATCTGTAGCATTAAATGGACTACACCTAGAGGTGTGCGAATAGTTCGAATTCGAATCGCATTGAATCAAATCACAGTGGATTAGACTGGAATTCATTTTTGAATCTAAGAAATACGAAATTGAATACTTCAAAAATTTCAAATCAATCGCCTATTTTATTTATGCTTAATTTAGGGGAGAGTCGTGCAGTACTAAGCGACCAAAGCTATATAGTTCTTACTTCTAATGAACGGACGTCCCGTAGAATCATCGAATCATGGACATTTATTTAAAAAAAATCTAAAACTAAAAATATAAGGACTTTTTGTGTTCTTTTTTAACATATAAAAATTATCATCGTTTTACATTGAAAACAATACTAAATTTTAATAAATATTTGTATTATATATATATATATATAATATATTAAGATTTGGTAATTTTTTTTCTGTATAATATGTTTTATATTTTAACAGTGAGCATAACAAATTTTTTATTCTGTCTAGATAAATTAACTGGAAATAATCTTTAGGATCTGATAAATCTCACACCTCTCGGTATAGCGTTTCACGACGAGGCGTCTTGTTACCGGGCGCACTTAGGTGTTTTCGGCCATATTCGGCGATGCATCTGGGCATCTTTACGATCCACGCAAGAGGACCCGTCGGTAACCCACGGCTGCTCTCCGTCTTTCCCCTCTCTCGCTCTTCACAAAACGTAATCGTTTTTGTAGCCAGTCCGGTTCTCGGCGTCACCGACCTACCGGAACGCGTCGCGCCGGGCTCGAGCGCGACGCCCGACCTGGACCAGGTATGAAAAGACGAAACGGACATGTGGAAATTTCATTGTGATTTTCGCCGGTATATTTCCTTTTTTTGGATCGATGAACCCGAGAACATGGAAGTAAAACCTTTGCGTCGTCTATTTTCTAAGATCCACGATAAGACTCTCGCGGAATTGAATATAAGTCGCTCCAAGAAATATACAAAAGAAAGTAAAATAAAGAGAGTCAATAAAAATCGTAATGACTTCATTTTTATTCTTAACGTCAATAAACAATCAAATTTTGTAACAAAAAATCATTTTGACTTTCATAACGTCAAAAGAAAATCATTTTGACTTGATGTGATTCTTGGAATTTTTATTCTCATCTCGTACAAAATGCAAATAGAAATCATTTAAAACGTTTGAGTCGCTGTGTCTTGCTATTGTAAAAAGTACAAGCTTCCTTCGGTCTCTCAAGAAATGATCTATCAAAATATTCCATGTGAAATATTTCGTTATGGATGCTGTCGCGGGATGAATCGCGAGGAACGCGTTAGCATTGAAAAAGAGCAACTTCCTCCTTAGCAACAGTCGAAAGTAGAAAATCATGCTACTAAATTTAGATTAAAAGTGGACGTTGAAGAAAATACAAAAGCTTGTTGTTGAAGCAGGAGCACCTGAAGCACCGGTGCGCACCTCTCATCTTACAATCCGATTCTTATGTACAAATCTACAAATCCGAAGGATCGCGGAGCAAATTCGCTCGGACGTCGCGGCAAGTGCAGCTGTTTCTCGCGGGAATTTATCGTGAAGGATCCCTCCGAACGGGTCTTAAAACCGGGTGACTCCTCGCAGGACAACGTATCGAAAG